GAAGAGAGTGATGTCCTTCTACAATGCAGTTGTGTATAACCTCCCCGATCGCATACACCCATCTAAGTTAAGGGATATTTGCCTTAGAGCATGCGGTATGCCGAACGTTAACTGCAAAGTCATTCGCCTTAGAAAAAAGTCAGACAGATCGACTTGCCCCCTTTTGTTTATGTTTGGCTGTTGTAACGATGCTAAGCAGTTTATTAATTTGAGCAAAAATATTAGCTCACTAATTCCATACAAGAATATAAAAGTCACTCCAGACCTTACGCCCTGTCAACGTCGTGTAAGAAGACGCGAAGCGATAGAATTGAATGGGAGTGTTACAGTTAATAATCAGCCAGAGACAGTTTGCAACACAGCAAATAGTTTAAAACACACGAACAGTAAGCATGACACCACTCCACATACGGCTGATCACTCTGTTGATCTAGATGAGTCTACAAATCAGAAACCTTTGGATAAGATACGGATCCCAACTGACACCAAAAACCATAACGACATGACTAATCCCAGCTGTTCGTTCACTAATGTACTAAAATGTGAGTCGTGTAACAACACACATCCAACTAAACCTATACACCTGAAAATTTGTCCTCCTAAAGATACCCCACAAGTAGACTTGAATGAACGTAAGTTCATATCACAGAGACAACGAAAGACTCCAGCTCTGACAATAAACGGTGTGAAGACAAAACTCATGATACCGAATAGGGAAACACGTAAGATTGAACCCAACTGCTCTATAGGTATCCCAAGAACAGTGAACAGGTTCTCCCCGTTGCTATCGTATAACTTACCTTCAACACCTCTAAGTTGCAAAATGGGTGGTGGGTTTCAGCGTAGCAAGCCTTCTTACACGCAGACTAACGAAAACTACCAGAGAACTGGCGACCCAAATCACCCCCTGAAGCCTAAAACCATAAATAAGAATGGTAATAATAGGCTTCTCACTCCACACCCTACCTACATTCCCCAGGATCGCAACTGTAATTACTCTCAGAAAGAAAACTCACACCCTTTAGTACCGACCCATCACATAACAACGGCTCCCATGTATAACAACAGTCGCAACTCCTCCCAGTTACGCGTAGCAGAACCCTCTCACGCTAACTTAAATAGCCATAACAGGGGCTACGAGTCTAACCATCAAGACTATTTTGTAAATAACCATACACTTCACAGTAGGCCTGTACAATATTTTTTTGGAATAAGACCCCTAGTGACACCTCTGTTGAAGCATATAGCCCAGGTTATTTCAAACCACATGCAAACCATAAATTTATTTCCTCCGTACAGTTCCCATCAGAGAGTACTCCCACCCTTTCCTCTTGGCTAAACTCCCCAACCAACTTCCCTAGCTCATTTGATACATCTCCCACTAAGTCTAGCTATCAAAATACCGAGCTAATAAAGAACATCCAATCCCTCACATCAAACTCATCTCACACCCGCGAGGGTTATGATGACTTTATCCGAGATATCCTCACCCATTTTAACTTAATAGGCCACTTGCTTAATATATGTCTTATCAACGCTCGATCGATCTGCAACAAAAAGGCGGATCTAGCACTGTATGTATCCATTTATCAACCATCACTTATAATGATATCTGAAACATGGACTAACAGTAATATTTCCGACCGAAGTATATCTCTTCATAACTATTTTCTATATAGAAGCGATAGATTGAATGGACGAGGCGGAGAATGCCTTATTTACGCTCACTATAGCCTAAACTCACTGCTATGTGATATGCCTGAACTAAATAAACTGAAGGATCCGGTGTGGATTGTATTAAAGCCGTCGAATTCCGTTACCTTACTGCTCGGCTGTGTTTATCGTCAACCTAACGCATCAATAGATGAAATAGCAGTATTATCGGAGGTATTCACACTAGCATCATCTCTCTCATTCACAGCCAAGCTCATTTGTGGCGACTTCAATACGCCTGAAATTTCTTGGCTGCCAGTCAAAGCGCCGAAACGTTATGAATCATTTATTGAATGTCTAGAGCTTGGACAATGGACTCAGTATGTCGATAGCCCTACCAGACATCAAAACATTTTAGACTTAGTCTTTACCAGTGGCCTCATCCCCAATACTTTGTATATTGGAAAAAAGTTCCCAGGTAGTGATCATAACATGGTCATATGCAGCCTTAATGTAAAAACCACAACCGATAGAAGTAAAACCGTAACACTTCGTAGAAACTATCGCAAGGTTGATTGGAATAACTTCCACAATTACCTAAGAAGCACTGATTGGAGAACTTTCTTTACCTCAAACAATACCGACACATTAACCAATATATTTTATCACAACATCAAAAGTATCATCAACAACATCGCACCTTTAGAATACTGTAAACCTACGTTCTCCAAAGATCTCTAAATACCGGTCAGTACAAGAAGACGTCTTCAAAAACATTGTAGTCGATTCCACAACTTAAATGACTTTTCTTCTTTAGTAACGATGACAGAAATACTTGTCCGAACAGAGGCAATAAGTACACAAAAAGCAGTCACACAGGAAAAACGTGCAGTTGAACTTAATAATAACCCCTCTGCACTCACCATACTACTCCAAAATAAACTTAAACGCTCTAAATTGAGAGGGAGTATATTCATTAAAGGCAAACAAGTATACGAAGATCCCAAACTTATCACGGAATTATTTAGTGAACATTTTTGTTCCTCACTAACTAACGAAAAACCATTTAATGATTCAGAACCAATCCCAGTAACTCCCTGTGAAATTACTAATGTAGAATTCAGTGTACAAAATATCTCCAAAGCGGACTCCTTGTATCAGTCCTATTCCTAGACTTTAAGAAAGCCTTTGATAAGGTCCCACACAAAAGGCTACTCGTCAAACTAAAGTCCTTCGGAATACACAACCCACTGTACTCATGGTTTGCTTCGTTCTTAACAGAACGTAAACAGATGGTAAAGTACAATGACTGTCTCTCGTCACCTAGACCAATCACCAGTGGAGTCATCCAGGGAAGCGTATTAGGTCCACTTTTGTTTCTTATGTATATAAACGATATGTGTAACACCATAGAATTTGGGAAGCCATACTTATATGCTGATGATCTCAAAATAGTATACAGCTATAAGCCTGAGACACTAAGCGAAAGTGTAAGCCAGATCCAAAAGGACCTCAATAACTTATCTATATGGAGTGAAAAATGGCAATTACCATTTAACCTCAACAAGTGCGGGATCATGAACTTTGGAAAGCATCCCTATAAACCGCGACTTCACTCAAATGAATGTAGAGTCCAAACACTCGAATCAGTACACGATTTAGGAATTAATTACACAGGAAGCCTGAACTTTGAAGAACATGCCTCCTCTATTATTTCTAAGTCTAGACGGCTAATTGGTTTTATAATGAAAAACTTTTTCACAACAGAGGGTAAACTTACTCTCTACAAAATATGTGTACGACCCTCCCTTGAATACTGCTCTTTTGTCTTCTCTAATATGAATATCACAGACAAGATAAGAGTAGAAGATGTTCAAAGACGTTTCACACGTCAACTACTAGGATGTAACTCGAGTCTCGATTACACAGATAGATGTAAGCATCTATCTTTAGGACCTTTATGGCACCGTAGACTAAAACACAATTTAATATTTCTCTACAAAGCGATATATGGGCTCTCCTTCCTAACATCCTGCCCGACTATCACCCACGACCCAGCCTATAGACTTAGAAACAACGCATATACACTACTTACCGTAAAACACCAAAAACAAATGCGTTGTAAGTTTTTTACAGTACGGTATAGCTTATTGTGGAACAGGCTGCCAATGCCTATCCGCAACTGTGATACGTTTACCAGATTCAAAAAGCTGATAACCCTATTTCTAGACTCCAAAGAGCTTCAACTTTACCTTGAACTCACGCCCACCAATGAGGCACTTTATTACGGACCGCCCAGTATCTAGAAAGAACAAGATTATAACAAGTTCGACTGTTACTAATACGAATATAACCAAACCACAGAATATATGGCTTATCCTTTCCTATTATTCATTGTTTATTAATCATAACCTTATGTTCCTAACCCTAGCTTTCAGTTCCCAAATCTCTACAGGTTAAATGTACATTATTCTTCCTAAAAGTCATGCTTTTTTTTTCTACTGCAAGTAGACAGATAGCTCAATCTTATGGATGCTGATCTACTAAGGCCGATCATACAAAGCTCAAAATTTGGCCACAAAGTCTTGTGAGTTTCTCAATGTTTTATTTGTCTTACCCTGAAATCTTTTTCTTTTCTTTTTTTTCTACAGTTTTATACCCTCTCATATCTTTTGATTTGCTATTAGTCCTTACTCCTTTAAACCATTAGTTATTTTCATAGCAGTGTGATATAATATATGGACATCTAACCCAAAAAAAGGACTTTCCAACTATCTGATTTGCTTGTAACATGGACCTAGTAGAGACAGTGTATTCCAACTACGTGCTTTGATTAAAGCATTAATCATACTTACCACAAACGTAAGAGCCTAACATCACAAAAGGAGGGGGGGTGGCGTTACTGACCAGCAAACATGAAGGTGGGGAGATAACTTCAATCCACCCATGTCTGTAGGGCAGAACATTTTGTTTAATTACGGCTCCTTATGGTTTAGTGGGATGTCACGGACTTATGGTATTGAAGCTGATTTATCACGCAAAATACCTCTTTAAATCGTGTTACGAACGTTGAATTGGTTTCACTTCCTACTCAGAAATCCTATTACAAGCAAACTAGACAATTCGCTAATATACGAAGCCTACTCAAGACCCTATAAAACCTGAAAAACAAAAACAAATAAAAAAAACGAAAGGGGCTCTAATAGCTTCGATAATAAAAAGAAGATAGCCAGTTGTATATCACAATACTGTTTCTAGCACTATATTTTATTTTATAATCACACATAATCTTATACTCTCAGCTCTTTTCCAAATCGCCTCCATTTGTCAGTTGTATGTCCACTCACACCTTGCCAACACTTATTTTCTTTAACCTATTAAAATGCTCTTTCTTAACAAATACCTTAATAAAAGAAAATTAGAATGAGTAATCATACCTTAAACATTCCTACATGAATATTGGCTACTCTGCCTCTCGTGTTTTCTTTTACTTGCTCCCTTTTTCAGCCCCCTTGAGATATGGAACAGGTTACTTCATCCTGCACCATCCTTAAAGCCTTGGATATCCCAAAGGGACATAAGGTTGCGATTTCTAGAAGCTCATACCTTCAATGGACCTATTCTTGACTATCAGTCGCACATTCGCAACGCAACTTTCGTGAAGCGTGCCAACTGTAGTACTGATTAAAACCATCTACATTCATGTCTTATAAATTATCAACCCAGCTATGTAATTTAATACAGTGTATATTGTATCATTTGTATCAATTTGATCTTGCCTGTAAACTGGCATGCCTCATGTAACGAACTGTTATTTGAGAATAAATTATTATTATTATTATTATTAATTGTCATCGGAAGGGACATAAAGAAAACTGCTGCAGAAAAAGAACCCATAAACGACAATCTTTGAAGCCCTACTCGAAGAAATACAGATATATTGCTCCAACCAACAAGATATTGGTATCACATAACAGAGCACGAAGTTGCCACCAAAGAAAGTATGTGACCTTGAATATTAATAAACCCCGTACCCGCCTTCAGCTGGACACAGCTTCTGATATTACTTTAATCAGCCCAGAAACATGGAAGAACATTGGGAGACCCACAGTTTTCCTAACAACACAGCTGGCATACAGTGCATCTGGGGGGAAGTTGAATATTGTTGGAGAAGCGCCATGCACTGTTTCTAAAGGTACGGTAACAACAAATGCAACATTGTATCTTACTAATAAGCCAACACTAGACTTAATGGGGTTGGACCTTATAGAAACACTTAAACTAGCAGATCATTCTATCAACAGTATCTGCAGACGAGTAAGTACAGACAACACCCCAGAATGTAATCAGAAAAACGCCATGCTACAAAGACATCAAAACGTGTTTAGAGAAGGATTGGGAGAATGTACGAAAGCCAAAGCACTGTTAACTCTAAAACCTGAAGCTGGTCCCGTTTTTCGACCTAAAAGACCTGTACCCTATGCTGCTCTTCCAATAGTTGAACAAGAATTACCACGACTTCAGCAAATGGGTGTTATCGAGCCTGTGAACTTCTTGAATTGGGCTGCACCGATAGTGGTGGTCAAAAAGTCGAATGGAAGTGTTCGTCTATGTGCAGACTACTCTACGGGATTAAATGAAGCTTTAGAGTCTCACCAGTATTCGTTACCCTTACGAGAAGATCTTTTCGCAAAGCTGAGCGGTGGCAGATATTTTGCAAAATTGGACTTATCAGACGCATACCTACAAATCCCTGTATCTGATGAAAGCAAAGATCTCTTAACGATCAACACACACTACCTTTTGGGGTAAAGACAGCGCCCTCTATTTTCCAGCAAATTATGGATACCATGTTACAGGGTATTCCAGGGGCAGCAGCTTACTTAGACGACATCATAATTATGGCAGTAGATAAAACGGACCTGCAGAAAAAACTGGACCAGGTACCAGGACGCATAGCCGATTATGGTTTTCGCCTCCGAGCGGAAAAGTGTGACTTCCATATGCAGCAAGTACGGTACCTTGGGTTCATAATAAATAAAGATGGAAGACGACCAGATCCAGAGAACATTGAAGCAGTGAAAACAATGCCTAGACCCAGGGACATTACTACCCTACGATCATTCTTGGGATTGGTTGGCCATCACGGTACCTTTCTCCCCGATCTCCATCGTCTATGTGCTCCACTAAACAACCTACTACAAAAGAATACAAGATGGAATTGGTCTGCAGACTGCCAAGCGTCTTTTGAGAAAATCAAGCAACTCCTAACTTCCGATCTCTTATTGACACATTATGATCCTTCTTTACCGATAGTCATCGCTTCAGATGCTTCTAACTGTGGTGTGGGCGCAGTTATCTCTCACATTTTTCCTGATGGGTCTGAAAAAGCTATCTCACATGCTTCCAGATCTTTGACAACGACTGAAAGGAACTATAGCCAAATCGAGAAAGAAGCCCTATCGATTATCTTTGCAGTGAGAAAGTTCCACAAGATGATATACGGTCGACATTTTACCCTAATAACCGACCATAAGCCACTACTTGCAGTTTTTGGGTCAAAGAAAGGAATTCCTGTTCATACAGCTAACCGACTCCAACGATGGGCAAACACACTTCTGAGTTACGACTTCAAGATCAAGTATCAGTCTACTACCGCTTTCGGGCAAGCTGACGCATTGTCGAGATTAATAGGCTCCCAATCAAATGCCCCAGAGGAGACTCTTGTAGCAAATATAAAAGCCGAGGAAGAAGTTCATCGCGTGTTGAATGACGCAGTTAATTGGCTCCCAGTAACCTTTGAAACTATCAAGAAGATCACTGAAAATGATAAGATACTGAGCTAAGTTAAATGCTATCTCTCGACTAAATGGCCAAACAATCACCTTGACGGAGAACTTTTGCAATATTTTCGTCGACGGGACTCACTAATGGTTGTTGACTCCTGTATTATATTCGGTGATCGAATTGTTATTCCGAAGTTATTACGTCACAAGGTTCTCAAGCAGTTTCACAGTGGCCATCCTGGAATCAATAAAATGAAATCTTTGGCTCGTAGTTATGCTTATTGGCCGTCAATGGACAAAGATATCGAGAATAAATGCCGTAACTGTTCATCATGCATTCAAGCCGCTAAAAATCCTCTGAAATGCGAACCTCAGCATTGGCCTACGCCTGCAGGACCCTGGGTAAGACTTCACGCAGATTTTGCCGGTCCAATCCAAGGAAAAATGTTTCTAATTACCGTAGATGCATTCACTAAATGGCCGGAAGTATATATCATGCCAACTTGTACAACGTCAGAAACGATCCACAAGTTGTCTACCCTATTTAGCTGTTTCGGAGTACCAGAGACCTTAGTGACAGATAACGGCTGGCAATTTGCCGCAGAATCGTTTAAACATTTCTGTAGAACAAACGGAATAACTCATCTTCGTTCTCCACCCTATCATCCACAATCAAACGGACAAGCAGAGCGCTTCGTGGACACTTTTAAACGAGCATTACTGAAAGGGGGAGGAGAAGGGACAATTGGGCAGGTAATCACAAAATTTTTAACATCATACAGATCCACCCCGAACCCAAATGTTCAAGACGGCAAATCTCCCGTGGAAGCCATGTTTGGAAGGCGCATTCGAACCGTCTTCGATGTCATGTTGCCATCCAAATTAGTGGATGAACGCAGTCACGATCCAAGTATCCGAAGCTTCAGTGTTGGCGACAAAGTTTACATTAAATCCTACATCGGGAAGAACCGATGGGAGCTGGGCGAAGTTGTGCAAAAACTTGGAAAAGTACTGTACAGAGTTCGAGGAGCTTTGGGGACATGTATACGTCACACAAATCAAATCCTTAGGGACAAAAGAACGGTGCAGACTCGAAGTAACCGGGCGATTTTCCCGTTAGATTTAATCTTAGACGCACCAATGCCAGAAATGCCCAGGAACACTGACAAGAAGCCTTGGACAAGGAAGACGACAAGAATAATGAGACGCCGTCGCAACCCAGTTATCAAACTACAAGTAGATCCCAGAAAGAAATCTTATTCGGGTGAGGTGTTGGGTCGGCTTCCAGAGAACTTCAACGGGGCCTCCAGAGGCCCAAAAGGAGCCGAAGGGCCTAACCAATCAGAGTATAATGGAACGTTCGAGAATTCCAGCGTGGCGTGCTACCATTGGTCGGCAGCATAATATGACGTTAACGGATTGGCTGAAATATGATGTTAATTTAACAGACGTCAACATCTATAAATACCCTTGATTTTCTGTACTAGAATGAACCTTGGGATAAAGTGTATTCTCTCATACTTGTGTCTTCTTTCTGGAGTTAAAGTCGCTGTGTAGTTCTAGTCTGCGGGTTACGGGAATAGCTTAGGAATCGTATATAGCGTTCAACCTACACGACTTATCAATCATAAAATCAAATAACGTTAATGCTAGTAAGTTGTCCATAAGTTGATTTTCAATTGCATTTGTATTAGTAGGCTAACTGAAGGAACAAAAAAATTACCGTGGAGAAGAATTCCAACTAGTGTTCCAGTTTGTTTGATACGGTTTATTTAGTTACGCGGAGATTTTCTCAACCTCATTTTTAATTGGCCGTGATAGAACTTAGTAATACTACTAATACATATGAATGGTTATCAAAACAAAATTTAAATACGTGAGTGCCAATTATATGAGTTTTGGACAGATAGCTAAGAACAAATCGTTAAACATGTGTATTCGTAAGAGACATGCTCTAGACTCAATGTTCTGATCTGCGATAGACTATTTATTTATATTTATACTTGCCGGCTGATGGGCATACAAGTTAGTTGCAAGTATGCAGTTTATCATAAGGCGGAATACGATTTAATTGAGATATAGTGATTATAAGTTATTGAAATCAGTTAAGTCTATATGCTACATTACTAGGTGACGTGCTGCAAGACGTATTCAGCTAAATAAGTTTTTACAAGATGATTAATAGTGAGTGATGCTCATTTGATTATCAGGGAGAACATAAGTTGTAACCAGGAGGAGTACACTCCCAACTCATGTCTATGATAATGGCTTGAACCTTAGTCAGTGTTGGGGTAAATTCGACATTAATGTTTTCAGTTTGCAGGAGATTTGCTCGACTGTTTATACTGATTATTTGCACTCATGATTGTGTCGCTAAACCATCAATTCGACTGACAAGGTTTTGAGATATTTACTGAATGAGCAACTGATAGAGAAACATACTGTAATCATCTGGAGTGAATGGAGATATTGAGAAAAAACTATTTAATGATAATTATAAGTCAATTTGCTGATTGATTTTGTTAATAGTTTCATTAATTTTATCAATCATATTACGTGATTGTCAAGTCATGACAATGCTTTGTGACAATATCCTGAAACTATTATGTTTAACTAGTTATAGTGTTGAATGAGGATTAGTCAGTGGAAAAATAGGTATT